CCCAGGAGAACTTTCACAATAAAAGATACTCTTTTTTTTTTTCCAAGATAGCTTTTAGGTTAAAATACAAAGAAAAAGAACTGCTGGAGCTAGCCGAATGAAATGGTTTCTTCATTTCACTCTAAGTTTATGATTTTATAAGTTCAAAATACATTAAAATTTGTTCACTATTTTTAGTACATGTAGGCACAAATTTGGGGGAAATAATAAAACAGAAATAGGTATTATGACATAGCAGGTAAGCTGCCACTTCGCCTTCCGACATCCACGGACCTGAGTTCTAGTCCCAACTCTGCAGGCATCTGGGGAGTGAACTGACAAATGTAAGATTTCTCTCTCTTTCAAAAAGACAAACTTTAGGGCCCGCTGGCGTGGCCTAGCGGCTAAAGTCCTCGCCTTGAATGCACCGCCCGGGATCCCATATGGGCGCCTAATCCCGGCAGCTCCACTTCCACTTCCCTTCCAGCTCCCTGCCTCTGGCCTGGGAAAGCAGTTGAGGACAGCCCAAAGTCTTGGGACCCTTCACCTGTGTGGGATACCCAGAAGAAGTTCCTGGATCCTGGCCTCGGATCGGCATAGCATCAGCCATTGCGGTCACTTGGGGAGTGAATCATCGGACGGAAGATGTTCCTCTCTGTCTCTCCTCCTCTCTGTATATCTGACTTTCCAATAAATAAATGAATAAATCTTAAAAAAAAAAAGACAAACTTTAAATTAAAATAAACATAAAATCTTATTTATTTAGCATGTTTTATTTAATACAGGCTGTAAATTCCTAGTTGAATATCCAAAATGCCACATATGACTTCATGGGACATATCAAAGTCAAAATTTGGGCTATGGATATAGGATTGATGTGAAACCAATTAACAGATATGGGTCCTATCCTTAATTAGGGGGGGGGGGGGGGGGGGGGGGGGGGGAATAATACACAAAATAAATTAAAAATAAACAAAAAAAACAAAACAATTACATAAAAACATTATAAAACAAATATAAATTACAAAAAAATTATCTCATGCAAGTCTGCCACAACTTAAACTTGCAGAAGACATAACAAATTCCAAAGAAAATGAATGCTTGGCTGATTCGTAGACCTTTCATAAATAAACTGTACTAACATTGTTTCATATTATAACTGTTTTGATCTCCACCACAAGATAATTATCAAGTGTATATGTTCAGAGCAATTCTACAGAAATCTCCACTGCCATAATAAAAATGTAAGTTAGAGAATTTAATTGTAAAGACACAAGGCATTACTTGTTTTCAGATAATAACAAAAAAAGTGGCTAAGAGGACCTGGTATGGTGGCCTAACGGCTAAAGCCCTCGCCTTGCACACACCAGTATCCCATATAGGTGCTGGTTCTAATCCCACTCACCCCGCTTCCCATCCAGCTCCCTGCTTGTGGCCTGGGAAAGCAGTCAAGCACAGCCCAAAGCTTTGGGATCCTGCACCTGCGTGGGAGACCTGGAAGAAGCTCCAGGCTCCTGGCTTCGGATCGACTCAACTCTGGCCATTCTGGTCACTTGGGGAGTGAACCAGCAGATGGAAGATCTTCCCCTTGTCTCTCTTCCTCTCTGTATATGACTTTACAATCAAATTTAAAAAAAAAAAAAAGTGGCTGAGAAGATGTGAGTTTAAACCATGAAAAAAGATGCTCTCTCTCTGAAAACAAAAAACAAAAGCTGCTGTAATTAGCAGATTTCATACGCTTTGCTCTTAATGTAGGCCCAGTGCGGTAGCCTAGCGGCTAAAGTCCTCGCCTTGCACATTCCAGGATAGAATATGGGTGCCAGTTCTAATCCTGGCGGCTCCCAGTTCCCATCCAGCTCCCTGCCTGTGGCCTGGAAAAGCAGTCAAGGACAGCCCAAAGCATTGGGACCCTATACCCTCATGGGAGACCTGCAGGAGGTTCCAAGCTCCCTGGCTCCTGGCTTTGGATTGGCTGAGCTCCAGCCATTGCAGCCACTTGGGGAGTGAATCATCAGATGGAAGATCTTCCTCTCTGTCTCTGCTTCTCTCTGCATATCTGCCTTTCTAATAAACAAATAAATAAATCTTTAAAAACAAAAACAAATTTTTAAAAGCTCCTAACATGTCTTAATGAGTTAACTGCCCTCTATATCTTATTCCTACAATTTACTTGATAAGAATCTTTCATTACAAACAAGAGGAAGAAAAGAACCGCCACTGATACTTTACCACCCAAATAACAGCACCACAGAAATCCAAAGTACAACTGAGGGGGTTTACTGATCTGACAATTTTCATGCTAACAGGATTCTGATAGGTTTCTCTAATCCAACTTACCCATTTCATGGATGAGAAAACTAAGGCCCAGGAATTTAAAAAAGACAAAAATCTGTCCACAAATAAGGCTAGTTAGCAAGTAGGTCTCAACTCCACTTCATTTGTTCTTATTTGAGAGCTCTGACTAAACCAACCAATACAACTTCCTGGAAAACTTATGTATAATTGCTGGATTTTCTTACAGCACATATGAGGCATCTTCAAAAAGTTCACACAAAATGTGTATTATGAAAAGTGTGTAGATTTCAAAGTGCCTCATACAAAGAAATTCATATATTTCCATGAATTTTGGGAAGTACCCTCATAAATTTGGGGGAAATACCTGTGGTCTTGTTTTCTACTTAATGCACACCGAAGTTATCCTGACCACTCAAAACAGTCAGCTGAGGGGAAAACGAGACATGAACTAAATGGGCAAATGCTGGAGAAAGTAGATTTTTTTATAAAACCAGCAGCCCTGAGGCATACTGCCTAAGAAAAGACAAAGATAAAGCCTTGAGTCGTTTACTAAGGATCTGTCTACATTGCTCAAGTGGCATTCACAGGCCAGACACAGGGTGCGACTCTGCAAAGGCTGCAAGGAAGTCCTTGGCAGAATGAGGTACTTCAACCCTTAGGTAATCTGAGCAAAGAACCCAAGTTAGGGAAATCACTCTGGGAGGTTTATAACCTCAAAGTGACACCATGGTAAGTGCCCTCCTCATCTACACGGGCCCGTGCTGTGAATCAGCAAGCAAAAAGGAAGGACTGGTAGAAAAGCGAAATAAATATATCAAAATGTATTCAATTCAATCCAGCAAAAATTTATGAGATAATGTGTCTGATGTTAGGGATGATGATGATGGTGGTAAGAACCAGAACAACAGAACTTAACACTTCCTCAATGTTTACCATGTGTCAGGAACTGTTAGCAACACTTAAAATCACTGACTCCTCTAAAACAAACAAAAAAGAAAAACCAACCATCGAGTTGGTCCTATTGTTATCCACAGTTTCCGAATAACACACAGTGTGCTTCCTGTTTCCTGCCCAGTTCACATGGTTCGTACATGGTGAAGGAAGCCCAGACGCTTGGCTCCGGAGTTGAAAGTACTAATCGCTGCATGACTCTGTTCTCTCAGGAGTTGAAACAAAGGATGCTAAGGTCACTAAAGACTGTTCCTACTCCTCAGAGTCTCATGAATCAGGATCCAGGGAAGGCTTCCTGCTGGCAGGTGTCCCGTAGGAGCCAAGCAGGGGACCACGGTGGTGCACTCCAGGAGAGGCCCTTGCACAAAGAACTAGGAAGAAAAGCAGGAGGAGACTGCATGCTGATCACCAGAGATGGGTACTGAACATCAGCAACTACTGGTGTGGGTTTATTCATTTGTCTTTAGGAAAAAGCAGAAATTGGTAAAACAGGATTGAAATGTGAGATGCAGGTGTAAACGGTCGAGGTGAACAAATAAAGAGCCTCACGTGGCATGCTAAGGACTTCCGGAATTTATCCTGAATGGAATGGGGGGGAGGGGTTCCTGGAAGTGTTTGCACATGAGTGCCAGCTGCATTTTACAACAATCATTCCATGGCATAGCAATGGACTGGACAAGGGCGAAACCAGAGGAAAACTAACTTTTGAAGCTGGCACCAAGAGCAATTAGGCAAGACGACCCAGGCCTCAGGTACTGTAGTGGTATTGGGACACAGAGGAAAGCGGACTGACTTTAAAAATTCCCTGAGGGAGACAGCCTGGTTGTTATTCCTGGAGGCACAGGGAGAAAACCTAGCCATGCCACCAGCTTTCAGCTTAAAAACAGAGAGAGGCTGGCACCGTTAAGACAAGGGGCACCAGAAGGCTGGCAGGTTCAGATCAGAAGAATCCATATATTTCTAAACCGCAGGCACTTGACTCAGGAAACCTATGTAATGTAAAGAATTCTATTATTTTTCAAGAATATTGTTAATAATTATAAGGTTTCCATTATTCTTTTTGGCTTATGAGAGACTGGAAGCTGAGAATTCAAGGGAAGGGTCTATACCCAAACAACAAGAAAGCTAATAGAAGCAAGAGAGAAAAAAAGGAAAAAATAATTCAATGAGTTAACTTAGGAATGCAAAGAAAATAGCAAAGAGCTTTTCTCATCTTACTACGGGAACTGCAACAAGTCAGCACAAGAACAGGTTACAGGATTAACCTATTCAATGAGAAAAGGTTAATTTGCGCTCTCCGAGCCCCATGTTCCGCTTTAATGAGCCAGGGTGAGTTCAGAAGGGTAGGGAGAATCCACAGTGGATTTTCAAAGGGCACTCATCCACACAGCCCAAATAGAAAGTTTTACTGAAAAGTTCTTGTGCAGAAAATTCCCTTCATGTGAAAAACTCCACTCACCAGGATGACAGATAAGCTGTGTGACAGATGACACATCTTTTGTCAGCACACAGGGACATCAGTGATTAGCACGGCTACTTCCAGCGAGATAAGCCCTTCTCCCGCAAAGCCAGCCTCTCTGCCTTTATCTCACTAAGACGGAATAACCATCCTCTGACTCTGGCCAGCTTTGTGGTTGATTCTGTTCAGAGTGACATTAAGCTGGCTCTCATTTTAAGGCCCTATCCAGCTTTGTGGACAATTACTTCAAAAAGTCTGGAAGGAGAGAAAGCCCTTGCCAGGCCCAGGAGAAATCAATGTTAAATACAGTCCATACCTGTCCCTTATTATGACTTCACCGCAGGATTGGCAATGAAATGTGTAACATCCTTGGACGTGTGAGTTTTGATTAAACAGAGAAATCTGCTCTAAAGAAAACCAACAAAATGAAAAATGTTAGAGGCCTGCAATCAACATATTACCGTACTTACAGAGTTGAATGAGCACCATAAACTGCCATCAGTGCAGAGTTTACGATCTAACCCGAAGCACACATTCAGTTAGTGTTATCTGAGGACCCAACCAGAGAAGCTTTTACCAAAACAGAATCTGTGAAGTCTCAGAGCAAGGTGTTGCCCTATGTGACCCGAGTAACATACAAAACACCACTACGCAAGGTGAGTGCAAACAGGAAGTGCTCTACTTCCTGCACAGCCCCTCAGCAGCCTCGGCTGAGTGGACCTTTTCATCGGTGTGACTGTTGGGAAATAGAATCCTAAGAGATCAATTTGACGTAAACAAGGGTGATTGATGCCCATTCTGGCACATCACCTGTGTACCAATGCATCTCAACAAAATGGCTCTGGAGTGGTCTTTATTAGATAGCGCACCCATGCCCATGAAATAACGCCAAATAAAGAGTTTGGTCTTCCAAGAGCAAAACTCAATTTCTGGGGCTGGCACAATGGCTACACTGGCTAATCCTCTGCCTTGGCAGCACCAGTACCCCCAATGGGCACAAGTCTGTGTCCCAGCTGCTCCACTTCTGATCCAGCTCCCTGCTTATAACCTGGGAAAGCAGTGGAGGATGGACCAAAGCCTTATGATCCTGCACTGACATGGGAGACCCAGAAGAAGCTGCTAGCTCCTGGCTTTGGATCGGCTCTGCTCCAACCATTGTGGTCATTTGGGGAGTGAGCCAATGGATGAAAGGTTTTCTCTCTCTCTTTCTCTGAACTTCTTTACATTAATCTGCCTTTCCAATAGAAATAACAAAATAAACACTAAAAACTCAATGTCTCATGAAAGATATGAGAAAATGTTAAAAGCTATGGGGGAAATGAATATTTCTGGCACTAACTTAAAAAGGCAGTGTAAAAATAGTATGTATTCTTAATTTCCGCTATTTATGGAAAAAGGAAAAGAAAGCATAGCATAAACAAGCTATTTGTCTATAAGTATCTAATTAAATACATTTTAGTTAAACCCATTAGAATCCAAGCAATTTGGCTTGTTATTTCATAGGTACTCACTTTCAGGATTTAAAAAAAAAAACTGATAGTAGAAACTTTAAGAATTGACAATTTAAAAATCCACAGTTTAATTTCTAGAAGGACCTGTAAATCCCTATAGCACAAAGGTGAAATAAACGGTACTAAACTTCAACTCTGAGCAGACAAAAAGGAGACCCTGGGTAATACAGCCAAAGCAGTCACTCCAGAATACACAAATTTTCAGTTAAACACTGCCCTCTGCTGGCTACCTAGCTTGATACACTGGATCAGAACTTTCCTGACAGGAATCCTGGGAGTACTGCCAGTGATGAAACTCATGTCTCTGTTCTGACTGCCTGTTCCACTTCGGCGGTGGTGACTTACCCCAGGCACATTCCGAGTGACCAGCATATCTCACCATGGTTGTCCTAAAGCGGACACTCAACCAGCTGAATGCCCAACTTTTAAAAACGCTTAAATACACTGAAAGCCAAAAAATTCAAAGGCCACTTTCTGTAATAGAGTTTAAGTTCACATTAGTATGCACCTATCTCAAATTTATTAATATTTATTCACCACCTTTTTTGTGGATGGCACTGAAGCAATTAAGTGGTGAGGAATCTATTTTGCATACTCTTTCATGCACGAGGGAACATGGTTTTCAAGATTTTCCTTTTCAGATATTTGAGTACAATATGTTTCAGAAATATAAAGAAACAGGAAACCAATGAACACAAACAATATGCAAAGTAACACGTGGTAGTCAATTTATTGTGTCCTACAATGAACATAAAGCAATGTTGGCTGATTTCAAATTTTCAAACTAATTTCAGCCTTGCTATTTGTATATTGCAGAATGTGGGTGGCCAACACCTAATATATGCCCCTGGAGGTTGTGAGTTCTCAATCCCAGAGAAAAAAAACATGAAAACATCCCATTGTGGCTTTTACGCCTGCTTTTCACCCAGTTTCTAGGAGCAACCCAAATATCCAAGGTGTAGTTTTCCTCATTCTTTCCTGGCCGCCTCCCCCTGCCCCACACACATCACCCTCTCGGCCCACCTGTCTCTCTCTCTCTCTCTCTCTCACACACACACACACACGCATGCGCACGCACACACACAGAGTCTACCTCCATTTCAGTGACCCCAGCCTTCCTCCGATAATTACTCCATCGTGCTTAAGGTTGACCCTATGCCATCCACTCACGCTCCCTGGCACTGCTTCTCCTTATCCTAACTCTAAAACCAACTGTCTTGAACTAGTTCAAGAATGCAGAACTTCAGCAAAAATAACTCCAGCAAAAAGAAACGGAGCACGCTCTCATCGTGTTTTCTCCTGGAGGCTGGTGTCGTCACTGGGGGGCTAGCTCAACAGCTCCTGGGGGGCTCGTCGCAGCAGTCCCGCGGCCCCTCTCCCCAGCTCCCACACGGCCCAGGCTGACCACAGAGGGGGCAGTGCAGTCTCAGGATGCAGCCTCAAGAGCTGCAATCTTCTCTGACTGTAAGCCTCCCGTAAATCCTCTACAACCTCTGTTCTCTATTTACATAAATTCAGCCCTCCACAGCACAACACATACACTGTAACACGTGAAATGAATCAATCATTTTATTCAGTAAATTCATCATGAGGGATTACAAGAACATTTTGTCCTGACTTCACATACAATCAAATCACAAAGCACTGCAAATATATCACATGAAATTTCACATCAAAGCCAACTTCCGGTTCCTTGCACATACTGCTCCTTTTGGAACTGCCATCATTTCCATCATCTACGTCTCTGATTAAATGCTAGCTTCGCAGAGGGGGCCTTTCTTGTCCGACATCCCGTCCCCTAAAGCTTAGTCACTTCCTGTCCCATGATTCCACTTCACTTTGCTCAGTGCACTTTTCTCAGGATGCAGCTAAAGATGTGTTCACCCACTGCCTGTACCCTTTGCAACATCCACTGCGCGAGGACAGACTTCCCTGGCCTGCTAACTCTGGATCCCAGCACCCAGGTGAAGGCCTGGAACCCAGCTAAGAGATTTGCTGAGTCACTGAATTTATTTTATTTTTCTTTCTTTTTTTTTTTTTTTTAAGATATTTACTTTTATTTGGAAGGCAGATTTTACAAAGAGAAGAGAGAGAAGGTCTTCCATCAGCTGGTTCATTCCCCACACAGTCACAACAGCCAAAGCTGAGCTTATCCAAAGCTGGGAGCCAGGAGCTTCTGCCATGGGTGCAGGGTCCAAGGACCACGCCCACCCTCTGCTGCTTTCCCAGGCCATAATCAGAGAGACAGATCAGAAGTGCAACAGCCAGGACACAAACAGCACCAATGCGGGATGCTAGCACCACAGGGCGGAGGATGAGCCTGAAGCACCACCACACCAGTACCCCCAGTCAATGAATTTCTATGTGATGTGTTAAAGTCAACCAGGTCTTACATAATTGCCATCCAATTTAATCCTCACATCATGTCTCTGAACAATGAAATTTTATAATCAAAGAAACAAAACAGGGCCCAGCATGATGGCTCAGTGGCTAAATTCTCACCTTACTTGCACCAAGATCCCTATGGGTGTCAGTTCATGCCCAGCTGTTCCACTTCCCATCCAGCTTCCCACTTGTGGCCTGGGAAAGCAGTATAAGATGGTCCAAAGCCATGGGAACCTGCACTAGTGTGGAAAATTTGCTGGCCCCTGGCTTTAATCAGGTCAGCTCGGGCTGGTCTGGCCACTGGGGGAGTGAAATCAGCGGATGGAAGATCTTTCTGTATCTCCTTCTCTCTAAATCTGCCTTCCTAATAAAATAAATCTTAAACAAACAAACAAAACAGAGAATATCTACAGGAAACCTCTGTACCTTGTAGTCAATTTTGCTGTGGAGCAAAAAGTGCCCTAAAAACAGTCTATCATGGGGATAACATGGCAGCTCAACTGTCTAAACCTTCACCTGCAAGTAACAGCATCCCTTATGGGCACCAGTTTGTGTCCCAGCTGCTCCACTCCCCATTTGGCACCCTGCTTCAGCCTGGAAAGCACTGAAGGATGGCCCAAGGTCTTGGGACCCTGTATTCATGTGGGACACCCAGAAGAAGCTCCCAGCTTCGGATCAGCTCAGCTTCAGCCATTGTAGACATTTGGAGAGTGACCAGCACATGAAAGATCTTTCTCTTCCTGTCTTTCCTCCTCTCTGTAAATCTGCCTTTCCAATAAAAATAAACAAGTCTTTACAAAACAGTTTATTTTTTTTTAATGGGGCAGGTATTGGGCACAGTGGATAAGAAATTACTGGGGGGCAAATGCTGTGGCCTAGCAGATTAAGCTGGCTCTTGGGATGTTCCCATCACCATCAGAGTGTTGGGTTAGGTCTTGGCTACTCTCGGGTTTCCAATTTAGCTTCCTGATAATGCTAGAAGATGGTGGAAGGTGGCCCAAGTGCTGGGCTTCACACAGCTCATGTGGGAGGCCTGGTCAGTGGTTCTGGCTCCTGGCTTTGGCCCAGTCAGCCTGGGCATCTGAGAGAATGAATCAACAAATTAAATATTTCTGTTTAATTAAAAAACACACACACATACACACCACTCGGAATATGTCCATCATACACAGGAGTGTCTGGCTCCAGCTCTGACTGCAGCTCCTGCTCCGGCAGCCCGTGGGAGGCAGCAGGTGATGGCTTGCACAGCTGGACTTGTGCGTCATCCCTGGAACAGCCGGGCTAAGCTCCCAGCTCTCTGCTTTGTCCTAGCTCAGTCTGTGCTATTGTGGGCATTTGAAAAGTGAACCCACAAATGAAAAAATTTCTATCTCTATCTACCTTCCAAATAAAATAATAAATTAAAATTTTAAGAAAAAAAACACTAACAGGAAAGAAAATAACTTAGCCTAGTAGCAGCATATTCAGTTGCATCCGGCTTATAACTGGCAGAGCTGACCGAGGTGGGACGTCTCCTGGAACCCACAGCCTTTGCCATAGGCACCACCTGGGAAAAGTTCAACCACTTTAATTTATAACTACATATATATGTAACTATATAGTTATATATGATATGTATATATATAACTGCAAATCCAGAAGTGTTAATCCTACTCACTTGTGCTGAGATCGGCCCGCGCCTGCAGCCTCAGATGCAGCCCTTCCCCAGGCATGTACTGCAGCCCGCGGCAGGAGGAAGGCACAAGGCTGACCCCTGCTGGAATCTCCAGGTCAGTGCAGCCATCAGGTGTTTTCATCTGGAGTGAGGAAGTTGTAACGGAAATGTCTAGGGGTAGCCGTCCGTCTCCGGGCTCCCTAGGAATTAAAAATAAAACCCAAATAAATGCTTTTTCATTGCTCAAAAACACAGGATAGAAGGAGGCGTGACCAAGAAGTGTTGTTCCTCTCTGAGAGTGTCCTTGAAGTCACCGCCCGAGAACGGTTTGTAACATCACAGGCATTGCTAATCACCAGTGCTCCCCACTGCCACTGCAACGTGAAAGCCCTGGACACTTATCCTATTCTTCTGAGAATTAAAATTATGTCTTATCTTACTTATAAACCAGAGCAAAGTATTGTTATTCCACATAATGGAGCTTAAGAAGAACAGAATTAAATGAAACAAAAGAGAGAAAAGAAAAGCTTCCTTATCAGTATTTATTTCCCTAAGATTTGTTGTGATTGTTTGAAAAGTAGAGCTAACAGTGATATAAGAAGAGAGAGAGAGATCTTTCCATCCACTGATTTACTCTTCAAGTCCAACACGGCCAAAGCGGGGTCAGGCGGCAGCCAAGAGCCCTAGCGCCGTCAGACTGAAGAGGCTGAAGCGCCTGGACCATCCGCCACTGCCGTCCAGGATGCTGGAAGGGCAGCAGGTAGAACCTGAATGGCTGCACATACAGGATGCTGACATCACGAGCGGCAGCATAACCCACTGCCCTACAACATTTGCAAGAGTACAAAGAGACGGGCCAGTTATCCCAGCATAAGATGCTCACGTGCGTTTCTGGAGAGCCTGGGTTCACACCCAGATCCACTTGTGGATTCCAGCTTCTTCCTAACGCAGACCCTGAGGGCAGGGGTGAGGGTTTGAGTAACTGGGTTCTTGCCAAGCACGTGGGAGACCTGGATTGAGTTCCCAGCTTTGGCCCTAGCCAAACACCAGCTATCGTAGGCATCCGGGGTACGAACCCCAATGTCTCTCAATGCCTCTGGCTCAGCCTCTCAAATAAATACAAACACGTTATAAAATAATTAATGAAAAATATAGTGATATAAGAATAACAGGTATATTGGGCCCGGCGCAATGGCGCAAGTGGTTAAGGTCCTCGCCTTGCACGCCTGGGATCCCATATAAGCGCCAGTTCTAATCCTGGCAGCCCCGCTTCCCTTCCAGCTCCCTGCCTGTGGCCCGGGAAAGCAGTCGAGGACAGCCCAAAGCTTTGGGACCCTGCACCCGCGTGGGAGACCCGGAAGAGGCTCCTGGCTTCGGAGTGGCATAGTATCGGCCGTTGCGCTCACTTGGGGAGTGAATCATCGGACGGAAGATCTTCCTCTCTGTCTCTCCTCTCTGTATATCCGCCTTTCCAATAAAAAAAATAATAATAAAAATAAATCTTTAAAAAAAAATAACAGGTATAAAAGTATTTACTAACTCAATTCATGAGAAACACAAACTTCTAAACTCAATATAGGCAGGAAAGGGTTAAACGCATTTCATTTCTACCAAGGGTCAAAGGTAGAGAGAGAAATGAAGGAATCCAAGAAATCACTGCTCGTAGCACAGAAGGGGGTGAGGAATAAACGGAAATGACGCAGTGAAGACCAGAGGTGCTCAGTAACAGAGCTGCCCGCCTCACTCGTAAGAACAAGCAGCAGGCAGGCATTGACCCCGTGCCACCTGAGTGTAGAGGGCAGGCCACCTGCTTGAGTGTCTTCTAAGGGCAAAGCAACCGTTCCCCTGTGAATCCTGCTTACGCGCGAACATCTTCAGAGTACTTTCACAGCATGTGAACTGCCCTTCATGAACAACTCCAAGGGGATATCTAGAACCAGCTCTACTCACGGGGGAGACAGTCTCAAATCCTTGAGCTCAAAGTCCAATATCAAGAAATCATGCTGAGGCCCGGCGCCATGGCCTAGCAGCTAAGGTCCTCGCCTTGAAAGCGCTGGGATCCCATATGGCTGCCGGTTCTAATCCCGGCAGCTCCACTTCCCATCCAGCTTCCTGCTTGTGGTCTGGGAAAACAGTCGAGGACCCAAAGCCTTGGGTTCCTGCACCCACATGGGAGACCTAGAGGAAGTTCCTGGCTCCTGGCTTCAGATCAGCGCAGCACCCGCCACGGAGATCACTTGGGGCGTGAATCATCAGATGGAAGATCTTCCTCTCTGTCTCTCTTCCTCTCTGTATATCTGACTTTGCAATAAAAATAAATAAATCTTAAAAAAAAAAAAAAAGGAAAGAAAGAAAAAAGAAATTATGTTTGGGGCTGGAGCGAGTTAAGCCACCCTTGGGACACAGGTGCCGCGATGACACTTCCACAGCAGCTCTCCGGCAGCACCCTGTGCCCGGGCAAGCAGCCACTGTGGCTGTCCGGGCAACGAAGCAGCACATGGAGCCCCCGACGTTCCTTTCTGTGCTCCAAAAAAGAAGAAATGATGCCTGCAGACTTTACAGCTAAGAGTCAACTTTCTATGAAAGGACAGATAGGAAATATTTTACACTTCATGAGATACATATAAGACCTTAAAGCAGTTCACAGAAAAAGGAATTTTTTAAAATGCTTATTATATTGCAAAAAGATTCTTGAATTCAGGCACAGTTTTTGTAATATGCACTTCCCATCGGTGTTTTGAAGATTCCCCCATAGTCTCTGTTACAGGTTTGAGCTTGTTGTTTGTTTGTTTTGGTTCCAAGAACCCACTACCCCGACCCCTAAGGTTAGCTGTCTGTAGAAGGTCAAGTCCCTTATATAAAGTGACACAGTATTTCCACAGAACCCACACTTACCCTCCCATATGCTTAACATCATCACTTAAGATCACTTACACTACCTAACATGCAAGGTAAGTGTTGGCAAGTTGTTGCTACACTATATACTGTTAGGGATTAGTGATAGGAAAAACTGCACATCTTCAGTATAGATACATGTTTTTCTGCATATTTTGCTCTGGGATTAACTGAATCCACAGTTGTGGAGCTCACAGATTTGGCAGGGGCAGCATTTGTTGTCCCAGCAAGCAAGGGGCTTAAACAACACAGCTGACAGAGGAGGCATGGGTATGCCATTAAGGGGGCTCCATCTTCACATGCTCATCTAAACAAAATCACCTCCCTGGGACCCCACCACCTAAGACCATCCCAGGGACCTCACCTCCTAACCCCTTCCCGGGGACCCCGCCTCCTAACCCCATCCCAGAGAGAGATTAGGGCCACCATACATAAATGTGGGTGACCAAATAGTCAATCTATGAACAAAGTCTATGCAGGTGTAGACAGTGTTGCTAATAAAAGGCGGGAGAGGGAGGCAGCAGATGAGTTACACAGAGGGACACTGATCAAGGAAGACAACAGCGTGAGGACAACAAGGGCCAGGAATCTCACTGTGAGAGAGAAGAAGGAAGGGGAAACAACCAGAATGGGCTCAGGGACAGTGGGCTAAAATGGAAGCTACGTGCGGGAAGCCATGGCTTCGAAGCACCTGTACACAAACACACAAACTCCAAGGGGTTGTAAGTGTGTGTGCTCCTCTGCCCACATCCTTCACACACACACACACACACAGACACACACACACACACACACACACACACACACATCCAACAGCAACAAGCACACTTAGGGGCCACATCTTTGTAAAGGTTCTTTTCCACTGGGGATGGAGGGAGAAGGAAGGGAAAGACAGGGTTCCATGAAAAATGATTGCACTGAAGGCTGGAACAAGAAAAGAATGAAGGAATAAGAGGAGGCTGGAACATCTTGCTAAGCAACAAAGTCAGGAAGAAATCAAAGAATATCAAGCATGTGTCAAAAATCACACAGAAACCATCCTGAAAGGCTTTCTTTCACAAGAAAAACAAAATGAATTCCAACATAAAATTCAAACACAAAAATGAATTCAACATGAGCACAGATCAAAATGTAAAGGCTAGGGCCCGGTGCTGTGGTCTAGTGGCCAAAGTCCTCGCCTTGATCGCCCCAGGATCCCATATGGGCTGCCGGTTCTAATCCCGGCAGCTCCACTTCCCATCCAGCTCCCTGCTTGTGGCCTGGGAAAGTATTGAAGATGGCCCAATGCTTTGGGATCCTGCACCCGTGTGGGAGACTTAGAGGAGGTTCCTGGCTCCTGGCTTTGGATCAGCTCAGCTCCAACCATTGTGGCCACTTGGGGAGTGAATGATTAGATGGAAGATCGTCCTCTCTGTCTCTCCTCCTCTCTGTATACCTGACTTTGTAATAAAAAATAAATCTTAACAAGAAAAAGTAAAGGCTAAAACTACACAACTTACAGAAAATAAACCTGGGAAAATATTATAATCTTGAAGCACACAAAGATTTCTTAAGACACAGACAGAAAACGCTAACCATTAGGAAAGTAATAAACTGGACCTGAGGAGAATTGAAGGATATTGCAAAGCGGAAAGTCACAGATTAGGAGAAAATGTTCACTTATACACAAGACAAGTGATTATGAACAAAACCTTGTAGGCAGGCTGTATAAAACATTCTTTCAATTCAACAATGAGACAAAACCTACACTAAAAAAAAAAAAAAACCTGAGGAGGCAACACAGTGGTTAATGACAGCTAAACCTCTACCTGCCACACTGACATTCCACGTAGGAACCAGTCCGGGTCCACTTGCTACAGGCTGGGAAAGAAGCAGGGGAGGGCCCAAGTTCTTGGGGATTGCACCCACGTGGGAGACTTGGGAGAAACTCCTGGCCCCTGGCTTTGGAGTCAGCTGAGCCACAGCCATTGTGAGCCCTTTCAGAGTGAACAAGCAGTAGACTGAATATCTGGCTCTCTTTCCTCCTCTCTGTAAATCTGCCTTTCAAATAAAAACAAATCAATATCTTTTTTAAAAATGAGAGGCAGAGAGACACGGAATGACAGCTCCTAGCTGCTGCCAGGTTCGCGTGGTGCCTGCAATGGCTGGGTCAGGGCACAGTCAGAACTGGACGACAGAACACAACCAGGTCTCCCACACGGATGGCAGGGATTCAATTCCTGAAGCCATCCCAGCAGCCGCCCGGGCTCTGCAGGAGCAACAGGCTACAGATGGAAGCAGCAAGTCCCACGTGGGACTCGGGAGGCCCAGCCAGGGCCGGAACTGCTGCCCGACCCACTTTTTGGTTACGTTTAGGACTCTTAATTATTCTACAAAGCAGACTGAAATTGGAGATATCAATTCAAATTCATCATTTTTGAAATAAGGGCAAGGGATTAAGAAAGTCTACTTTCCCCATCTTAAGAATGAGGCGATTCAGACAACGAGTCTACCCTTGTGGGGAGACTAGAACTGATGAAGCATCCAGAATTGTCACACCAGATTTAACGAAAAGCTGAGCAAACTGTACCTATGACCTGTAACAAAATGTCAGGATTTTAATGTCTAACTCTGTTTAAAAGAGCAGTCACAGAGCAACAGGCAAGGGAACCACAAGCCATTAAAACTGAAGCCAACAAGCAAAAAAAAAAGTCATTAGGCCCCACCCGATGGCTCTGGTGGGTAATTCCCCCACTTTGCACACACTGGGATGCAACAGGAAAGCCAGTTCATGTCCTGGCTGCTGCACCTCCCGTCCAGCTCCCTGCCTGTGCCCTGGGAAGGCAGTCGAGGACGGCCCAAGGCCTTGGGACGCTGCACGCACGTGGGAGACCTGGAGGAAGCTCCTGGCTTCAGATGGGCTGGGGGCTGGCCATTGCGGCCACTTGGGGAGTGAATCATTGGACAGATCTTTCTCTCTGTCGCTCCTCTCCATAAACCTGCTTTTCCAATAAAAATAAATATATCTTTTTTTAAAAGTCATTCTTTCTAAAAGTTTCTACTTTGTATTGCAACTTGCAAGTTAAACGTCTGCAGGCTTCTCAAGAGAACTTGCAATGTGAGTGAAACAAAGATAGGATTTCGGTGAGTCTGCAATCTTTGCTGACGGCTCCCCGAGCACAGGTTTACTGGATGAATGGGAAAGATACACAAACGAAGGATGTGAACACAGGCGAGTCACGTGTCTTGGAGCGGCATCCTGATCTCAGGACAAGCAGAAGGGGCTGACTGACTTTTAGCACAGTTTTGTTAGAAACGCCGGACACTGCCAACGGTGTGTCACACCACGGCTCTCGAACTTCCCCGGGAACCCCGAGCCCCGCGCGGCGGGAACCGGGCGGGAGCCCCGCGCGGCGGGAGTGCAGGCCCCGCCGACCCCGCTTACCCCACGATCAGCAGCGCGCTCGGCAGTCGTCTCCGCACCTCCAGGAACACGCGGGGCTCGGCCGCGGCCGCCGCCATGCCGGGAGCCGGGAGATGGGAGCCGGGAGATGGGAGATGGGAGCCGGAGCCGGAGCCGGAGCCGGAGCCGGGAGCGGAGCCGGGAGTGGGGAGCCGGAGCCGGGAGCCGGGAGCCGGAGCCGGGAGGTGGAGCAGGGAGCGGAGCCGGAGCCGGGAGATGGGAGCCGGGAGCCGGAGTGGGGAGATGGGAGCCCGGAGCCGGAGCCCGGAGCGGAGCCGGAGCCGGGAGATGGGAGCCGGAGCAGGGAGCGGACCGCGGCTCCGGAGACCCTCTCGGCCGAGCAGCCGGGCACGCGTGCGGCCTCAGCGGCGGCGGCGGCGGCCGGAACCGGCCCGGACAGCCCCACCGCCGGCCCACAGCGCCACCTGGCGGCCGGAGCCCGCGGGACAGCCCCACCGCCAGCCCACAGCGCCGCCTGGCGGCCGAGGGCAGAGTCAACGCCGCCGGGGTCTCCCTGGAAAGGACTCCATACTGGGGTCCCTTGGCGAACTGGGGTGCAACAGGTGACAGAAATGGGAACCATCTCCAGGGAACCCAGAGCGGAATCTTCGATTCCCAAATCTACCTTGGTCTCTGTGTAGGTGTGTATCCATCCGAGCAACAACATTATCATGGATCAACTTAACGTTGAGCCTCAGATAGAGGAGCCGCTGCAGAAATGAAAGGGTTCCTTGCTATAGAAAGAGCATACTTGAAGGTTGATAGCTGACTACCAGTTCCCGCGAGGGTTTTCTCGAAATTCACGGAAGCTGCGTAATTGGAGGAGAGGGGCAGTGGGAGCCATGTGCATTTCAAACATATTTGTTCCCAAATAAACACATACCGATTTGTTGCAATTGGCAGGAACAGGATCTCCTTTGGGATTACTAGCAAGGATAGGCACCAGCTAGGAAAGAACCCTCAACGGAATGACCTGAGTTCTGTTAAAGCTGGAGCAAGAACAAGCATCAAATTTGGGTGAAGGTTCGCTAGCACTTGTGTAAAATCATTGATATTTTACAAAAATTCGATGAGAGTAATGTTCCCCGCCCCCCATCACCAGTTAGCCATTGGATAGCTTCTTTTTAGGAGGGATGAGATGGCAAACCCAGTGGTAGACCACTCATGTAAATTTTTGAGTAATAAATTGATCTTGTTCATGTTCCAAGTGAAGAGGACTAACAATAGCCCACCCTACAGACATCCCAGTGGGTTCCGCTTCTGCACTGTGGGTTAATGAAATGCACAGTGGAGTTGGTTGTCTGCTTGGTAGGTTCCAGGACTGTTACAAACTTACCTCTACGGCGGACCGGAGCTAAGCCGTCAACGCAGACTTGAAACGCGTGGGATCAAGATCCTCCCTGGGCTTTTCTTCCAAGGATTGTACCAGGAGATGAAGCTTGGCTTTCGCAGTCCAACCCCGAAGCCAAGCACGGTCAAAGCTAATGGCTCCGCGGGATGGAAGGAGTCCTGCTCCGGCCAAGGCTCGCCAGCTCAAAGGCAAAGGTGGTGATAGTCCAGACGCTTCGTTTATGGGCTCTACAAGAGCCCACATCTGCTCTCAGGGGCATTGTGTTGACGAGTTGAGCCAGCACCTCGGCAGGAACGTGCCAGGACACGCCTCTCCCCAGAACTGTCAGCAGGGTCGGGCTGCTGAATTGCACAAGACCCTTGACGGACACTCACCAGTTCCCACCTGGCATCCTCACCTGGGCCTTGGAGCTCACCTGTTCCCACCCGGCAGTCCCCACCTGGCTGCTTCTGCCTTGTTTTGTCTTGGTTTCCTAATCTAAAAAAGTTTTAGAAAGGTACCCATGTTTTCGTCATTTATTCATGTACAAAGATGGTTAAATTTCCAGGAACTGAAGTGCTTTGGGGATGAACCAAGTTGCTGGCACCATGACCTTGGTAGAGCTTGTGTTAAGCCGAAGGTTTATATTTTTTATTTCAAATCCCATTTCCCACGGGTTTTATACAGGCCCTCGTATAACCTGGGCAGAGAAGGAAGATATCCCAGATGAGAATTACCGCCAGCCTCTTGCAGAAAATCAGTCCGAGAAAGTGGCCCTCTTAGGACTGGCAAGAGCGTCTTGGGGAAGTTTGAATATCTATAATGGAGAAATAGTATGATTTATCTCCACAGTGGAATGACAACGACTGTTTTAAAAACAGAAGATTGCCTTTTCAAACACAATAGCGATAACAACTTCATATGCAAACCCTCTGTGTTGCTGCTCTGTTTTATCGATTCCAAGTTTTAATCACCACAAGGAAACCCACTCAGCCGAAGCATTTCTAAATAAACAATGCGTCCATAGATGCTGCATGGATACATCCTGCAGTATTCCTGAAGACACTAACTTAAAATAATTTTTCTGAAATCAATACTAGGGGCTTTTAAAGCTTATTGTGTTGCAATATAAATTCCTATATATTCTTATAATTATTATACAATAATTCAGAATCACTGATATAGCAACTTAGTGAAATAGTGTTTTCTGCCATTGAGTCTGATGATGTAGCTTATAGAAGATGAGGATTTACATTGCTGACATCACCATTCCGTCTTAAACCTCATCACAAGTTTACCGATGTGCTGCTCTGACATGCGTATCCCATTTGAGGTCATCCGTGAGCTCCGTAGCCGGTCAGCTCAGTTTTAAAGATCACTGTCTTTAAGATACAGGCACGACTTTGCAAAAAAAAAAAAAAAAAAAAGTTCTCATTTTGGACCCTCAGGTCTGACACAATGGCAAACCTTCCCTGGAGTAAGTTGATGTTATTGGAAGAACCACAGACTCAAAAGAATCTGAAATCTAATTTCAACTGTTTGTCTCTTGGCCTTAGCAAACCCAACTGTTCTGACCGTGTTACAAAATATTAAAGCATGCAAGATTTCTACACTTCCTTTCTTAAAAAAAAAAAGAGGTTTTTTTTTTCTTAAATTGGAAAATCAGACTTTTAGAGAGGAGAGACAGAAGGATCTTCAATCCACTGGTTCACTTCCCAAATGGCCACAGCAGTGGGAGCTGAACTGATCCAAAGCCAGGAGCAAGGAGCTTCTTTATGGTTCTCCCACGTGGGTGCAGGGTTTCAAGGACTTGGGCCATCCTTCGCTGCTTTCCCAGGGCACGAGCAGGGAGCTGGATTGGAACTGGTGCAGCTGTGACATAAACGTGTGCCCATATGGGATGCTGGCACTGGCACGTGGAGGTTCAGCCAGTTGAACCATTGCGGCGGGCCCAACAAACTTTGTTAAAAGCTGTTTTTAATCTCTACCATCCTTTCCAAGGGGGACTGTTAGTATATTTTAAAACACCTGCTAAAGAAAAGAAACACCCTTTCTGGCCCACTGCAGCCTTTGGGTGACTGCGGTCGCCTCCCTCCATCGTCCACGCGAGGGCGCTGTGGTAACAGTCTGGCCGTGGGGGGCGGAGATCCGAGGCGGCCGACGTCGACGTGAGCGCGGTGCACGCCGGGAGCTGTCAGCCCGGAGCGCCCGGCCTTCGCGTCTCCGCCTCGGTTGCCAGGAGAGCGGCGGCGGCGGCGGCGGCGGCGGCGGGAGCGGCCGACCCACGGCAGGTAACCGCGTCCCCGGCCCCGGCACGGCGCGAGGCGGGCGAGGCCCGGGCCTGGCTGCGGGGGGCTGCGGGAGCGCGGCGGGCCGGGCGGCGGGGGCTCGGCCGGGCGCTGCGGGAGGACTCGTCCTGGGCGTCAGGTGCTGGCCGCGTCCAGGATGGAGACGCGGGTGGCGGCCGCGGTCGGTGCTCCCCGGGCAGGGTTAGGAAGAAGGGGCGACGTTGCTGAAGAGGGAACCCGAGCGGGCAGACGGAAGTTGTTAACAGTTATCACCTTTGATCCAGGCTTTGGAACTTGCAACAGCATAACAATAGTTACTTGTTCCCTGGTTTCCTCCCCTGCGCTGACCCTGAGGCGGCACACAGCTATCTCTGGTTTTGTGTGTGTGTGTGTGTGTGTGTGTGTTTTAACTGTCTTAAAGTTCAGTGGCCTTTCAGAAAGGCAAAGATTGAAAAAACCTGGTTGAGAAATACTGAGCGCAATCAAAATATTCCATAATCAGGAAACGTAGAGGAGACGGTGCGAGCTGAACTTTATGCAGAGACAGGGTGTTGGAACCTTGATGTCGAAGGCAGAGGTGCATTCTTGAATTTTCCTGATTTATTTTTTTGGTGGGTATCATGTAACCTCGTGTGAATACTATAGGTCAGTCAGGTAACTCACCTGGCAGACATTAGCAGTTAGTTGGGCTGACAGGCTTGAGCCAATTAAACCCACAGGTGGCTCCAATGCTTTATTCCAACGATTTCGGCCAACACCCGTTTTAAACCATTCCCCGGCTGTCGACTCATCAAAGCTCCAGGTGACGTGGATAGGTCGGGACCCAAGTGAGCAAATGGAAAACAACTGAGCTAATACACTGAGGAGAAAATGTGTTCAAGCGTTGAGGGAAAAAAAGTGTGAAGATGTAAATATTATCAGTTAGGCTGTTAACTTGTGTCCTTGGATAGTTGAAGGAGTTTTTGTTTTGTGCTGAGGGTGGCAGAAAGATCTCTAGCCCGCATGAAGAGGTCAGAGGCCTTGCCCATGCCGCTCACCAGCTGTCAACATCTGAAGCCTCAGTTTGGTCATCTTTTGAGGGGAATTTGAAATTATCAGGACTTCCTCCGAACATTGCTCTAAAGCCATTTAAGAAGCTTATTGTCCCTAAAATAGTGTTCCAATGCAAATAATTAGAGAGTGCACAGGGTGAAACCAAGTTTAACTTTTGATTTCCTAATAGTCAGTCATTAATGCCTCAAACCCTTTATTGCTGTGCTTATAGTATGTGCCAGTTCTCTCCAGGGGGAGGTTATCATTGTATTTCCTAAACTTAGGAAAAAGGCCAGAGAACTCATTTTCCCATGGCCAACCTGTTAACATCTCTGAGCGTATAATGCGCAGAATGCCACGCCGGGACGGGGCTGTCCTGGTGCTGGGGCCCTGCTCAGCTGTGCAGTGCTTCGCGGCAGGCTGTGTGTGCTGTGTGTCTCCTGGAGCTTTCTGGTGCACCGAGGCCCAGCGGCATCACTGATTTAACAAAAGGCAGCTGTTTTCCTTAGTAAAATACTAAGAACGCACACAGATCCCTGTGCGTCTGTGCTTTGAGTCATGCAACAAAGCAACTTCCTTTTCCTGGTGTCTTTATCCTTTTGTTGAACCCATAGATCCTGTTTGGGTTTGAGTCTCTGACACTGATTTTACTCAGAATGACATTTGAAGTTTCAGTAAGGAAGAGACTTGTTGATTAATGGCATGGCTTTTGCTAGCCAATTTTCCCTTCTTATCATAAGGTCCTAAAACCATGAGAAGTGGTTTTAGAAGCCCTCTGATTGATACTACTGAATAATTACAGAATTGTAACAACTTGAATCTTGAAACTGAACTCAAAAGTGAATCATAAATTCTTAGACCATTGTTTCCAAATTGTATGTACGCAGGATGAAATGGTTGACTAAGATCTTAAATTGCTTTGCTAAGTTCTGGTGGGCTTTATTATCATATCAGCAACGGGCCTATCCTGTCTGTTCTTGGTTACTTTATTAGGCATTAGCACTGTTCCTGTGGAGTTTTTCCCCCTAAGGAGGAATGAGAACAGAACACTTAATTTTAATAGATAAGCCTTAATTGAGAAGTTCTGTCCCAGAAGTAAAATTGTTAAGCAGACCTACTAAACTGATACTTTTGTGTAATTAACGATTTTTATTGAGGTTTTTCTTAACATTCAAAGACACTATGTCTGTCCCAGTCTTTACATTATGATTGCCCTTTGCCTTGTGCTTATCTTTTCCCCAAGATGTTTAAGCCTGAAGCTTCAATGGTCTTTCCTTGCAGTTGTCTAAGATATCTTTATTAAGGAAAAAAAAATTACAAATAGTATTGTGTTTCCATTTTACGGTGCATATTGCCAGAGTTTAGCAGACGGCCAGCACAGTGAGGATCAGGGACGGGCTGCCAGGGGCCTGCGCCATGCTTCTGCTGCTTGAGGTTTCTCCCTGGCTCAGCATGTGAAAATTATGCATAACTTCAATCCCTACCTTCTGTGCCACCTTGTGAATCTTTTATTACCTCATTTTGAATTACTTTACTCCTCTTCGGACTTTAGTTTTGTGACAATGCTGCTCTGTCCTTCATGATGACTAAACACGTGGCATGCACTTTAAAACCATTTATACCTATTTACTGATTTGTATTTTATGTGCTTATTTAATGGGTTAACATAGGGTTTTCCAAGCTTGAGTCATTCTTTGATTATCAAGATTTATGTCTACATGCTTCCTTTATATTTTATTCAAATGTATGCCAAGAATTGTTAGACTCATTCTTTATATACTTAGGTTTTTTTTTTTAATTGATGACATAATTGAGAGGGATGCCCAGCCACGTGGGCCTCTGATTCAGATGTGGAGGGTCCAAGTGTGGAGGCAGGTGGATGGCGACAAAAGCTTCAGATTGTTTTTCCTCTCCCAATGTCTTCTGGGTGGTGTGGGAGGAGACTGCTCTTTGCTATGGAACTACATCAGCATCTAGGAATGGGGACAGGCGGTTAATGAGACCTTAGTGACCCTGAGGAGGGGAAGAGTATTTCAAAGGTATTAGTTGAGTGCTTTTGATAGTTGACTGTGAGATGTTGTCAGCTTTGTTGAGAAAATCCTCCCAAGGTCTGTTGGCTGATCAGGTCTACCTCACAGAGTCCATAGACCTAGTCACTTGTTGCAAAGTTTGGCCAGGAGAGTTGTCCAACCTGTTCTGTTTTCCATCCTCTTGAGAGATACTGGACGTCTTCTGCTGACCTAGTGAGCTGATTGTCACGCGCCCCATGTGCATCTGGGCATGCTGTCTACTACACGGGCATCAGCAATTAAAAAGGGCCAGTTCCAATGCAGGCACTTCAAGATTGGAGCACATATCTTGTGGTTTTCCCTAAGGACACAGTTTGAGTCCAGTAGTTTGGTTGGGGAGTCCCCCAAGAAACCTCAGCTGGGATGTCCTCGGACCTGGATGTTATGTGTGACAGTTAGTGCTGGGTCAGTTTGGTCAATCTCTCACACATCAGCCATCTCATGGTCAGGTGGGTGCATCTGCCTGCTCAGTCCCACCACCAGCCCGATTTCTGAGATTGCTGCAGCCCAGCACAGCCTAGCCCTCCCCAAGGTGTGTCAATCAGTCAGACACACACACACACACACACACACACACACCCAGCAAATGCTGTGGCCTAGTTGGGGTGGCCTCCCATATCTCTCGCCAGGCCAACCCTCAGCCCCCAGTTTTTGTGCTCATACCAGCTGGTGCTACAGTCTACCCAGTAGAAACATTCTGAAAAGAAGCTTACAGAAACTAAATCAAAAGCAGGTAGCATTGTCATAAACTGAAGTTAGGTAGACGTAGACAAAATAATGAAAATAATGTTATTAATTCCCAGCTACAAATGAATGCCTGAATCCTGAGATTTGGTACTGTTTGTTTAAAGGGAGAGTGACTAAAATTGTATGGGTTTTAATATACTAACACCAAGCTTAGAGACTTTTTTCCTGATACAGTCAGAGGAATGGAAAGTGTCAGCCCTTTCACAAGTCTCACGAAATTATCACATCTGGGTAGTGGCATAAAAATTTGGGGAGATTCTGAATTAATGTAAACTTGAAAATTTCTTAGAGCTTTAGCTTTGCAAGAATTGGAAAATAAAGCTTTCATTATAACTTAGAAATTATACTAAACTTTGAAAATTCAAAAACCTAATATCATTACTCCATAAGATAGATGTCATTATTTTGTCAGAAATGTCCATAACAGTACCTTTATAAATAAAGCACTATCTCGTAATTATCCAAATATATTAACTTAAAGGTTTGAATCCAAAAAAATAAATTAAACCTTTGGGTTTTTTTTTAATATGACAAAACAATACAACATGTTGATTTCAGAGTAGTAAAATGTTAAGATAATGTTTTTCTGGTAAAGAATTCTGTACCAGATAAAACAATAAAATAATCTCATATCTCCTTTACTTTCTTTTCCTTTTTAATATTGTTTGCTTAGTTGAGAGGGATATCTGCTCCTGTGGGGGTGTAATTAGGATGGGGAGGTCTGGATGAAGGTCAGTGGGACAAATGTTTCCGTTTGTTGGTTTATTTTTTTCCCCCTGTATTCACAAGAGTCCACGGGAGAAGAGGAACAGGGGGCCACTCTCTGCTGTCAAACTGCATCAGCGTTTGGACTAAGGGATGGTCCTTTGACGCCTTCCAGACTCCGATGTGGGCAAGAATGTTCCGAGGCTGCTACCTGAGTGGTTTTGATAGTTCTGAGAAGTTGTTGGTTTCACTGCTCTAGCGTTGAGAAAATCTGTCCGAGGTTTGTTGGTTGGCAAAGTCCAGCTTTGTACATCCAGAGACCCAGAAACATGCTGCAAAGCTTGGCCAGGAGAGTTGTCCAACCTGTTCTGTTTTCATCCTCTTACGAGGCAGTAGACGTCCTCTGCTGGCCTAGTGAGCTGATTGTCATGCGCCCCATGTGCATCTGGG